GCCAAACAACAGAAGATACGAAAGAAGCAGAGTCTGAAATATTTTTTTCAGTAACCCACTGGGCACTGGAATATCAGAATTCAAAGTTCTAGTATCCCATCCAGTATCTCACTTCTTATCTGGATACTGCTAAGTTAATGCTATATATTTTGGCATCCCTATAATCCCATTAAAGTAACTAAGTATACAGTACATGTCTGACTTCTTCTATCATACTGTACCTCTCCATTTCTCATTTTCATTTGTCTAAAATAATGACAAAGATTTAGTTGTAATATAAAACATACAGTACACAATGCACCTGTGACAGCTGTAACTAGATATTTATAGGTTGTTGTAGTAGATTCACACATCAATATTATCAATTATATCAATATTTTTAAATCGGTTATTCCATATTGCATTTTTAAAACTTTAATAGTGCATACTGAATAGATCAAATCTATTCAGTATTCTTGGCGGTGAACATGCACAACTGTATTAAAAAAGTACTAGATGCATTCAAATATTTATTTTGATGCAAAATAGGTCAAATTGGTTTTTCCATTTACAAGACTATTTATTTCTTTGATATGACACATATACAGCACTGTAGGTCAACTGTCAAGCTTAGCAAATAATTATTTCTAACATATTCAAAAGATTGTCAAGTAAACACGCGCGTAACAGTGTTCGGAGCTACGTCAAACCCTCTGTCTGTAACTTCTGGAGTACCACAAGGTTCTATCCTTGGCCCAGCATTGTTTCTCTTGTACGTCAACGATCTGCCCAGTACAGTTAAATCAAGTCAAGTTGTAATGTTCGCGGATGACACAAAACTCTTTAAAGAAATACGAACGGAAAACGATGCAAAACAACTACAGAACGACATTAGTAACCTCGAATCTTGGTCAACCACTTCAGGCTTATCATTTAATGGAACTAAATGCAAAGCACAGACAGTTACTCGTAAGCTCAAATCGATCACTACCAGCTACACAATGAAAGATTGTCAGTTAACATCTACCAAAAATGAGCGTGACCTTGGTGTCTGGATATCCACCGACTTAAGATGGAACAAACAAGTGAACCAACAGTGTGCTCGCGCAAACAAAGAGCTAAGTTACATTAGGAGAAACACACGGACAATCCACAACACAACAACAAGGCGAACCATCTACCTAGCTCTCGTACGTTCACATCTCGGTTATGCGACCCAAGTATGGACACCTCAGTCGGTTGAATTACTGACGAAAGTAGAAAGAACTCAACGACGTGCGACGAAATTCATCCTTAACCTGCCATTTACTTGTTCTGTTGACTATACATCCAGACTGCAGGCTCTCCAACTACTTCCAATATGCTACTGGCACGAGTATCTTGATATGGTGTACTTTTTCAAAGTAATCCACGGCTTAACAAACTCGTCCTTTGTTTTACGTAAGAAAACGAGACTGAACACAAGAGCTTCCAACAACACCAATACAGCGAAGTACGAAGTACCGCAATGCAGAACAACGACTTTCCAAAAATCTTTTTGGATTAGAACAATCAGAACTTGGAACACTTTAACGGACACGTTAGACTGTGCGTATGTGTTTATGTCTATATCACACAATGATGGAAAAGCAATTAAATTAAATTATTAGACAGATTTAGATCGAGGACGTCAAAGACGACGTGAAAATGGCGTCAAAATGGCGTGGCATATCCATACATGGGCACAACACGCCATTTTCACGTCGGCTTTGACGTCCGCGTCCTCGATCTAAATCTGTCTATTTGTCTCCTGATGATCACAGTAATGCGTGAAACTCGGAGAAGAGACAAAAAACCATTTTAAGTAAGAATAGTAATTATTACTAAATGGATGACCCCCTATTTTGATAATGTCATCTCATACAGTATTTCTGATTTCCGTTAGTTGAGTTTAAATAAAAGTGGTTAAGATTTAATTTATTAGGTACGAAATCGTTGCACATATTGGTGCAGAAAATCAAAATCAGTACATAAAGGTTCCCTTATTTTCCCAACCTGAGTAATGCCGGCATTAGTAATGCGGACATCAAATAATTCTTTAAAGGTCACCAATTTGAAATAGAAAACTATTTAGGCTCCACTTAAACAAGCTATGCTGAGTTGAACATCCCCAATTAAATACTGCTTTCATCATTCATCATCATATTGACGAGACAGTAAACAGCCACTTTGCCAGGCTATATTTATGGCAGCATCACAGAGTGTCTACATTTTGTATATGGCAGATGGTAGCTGCAGGTGAAGTGTCTTTTTCTATGCCTATGGGATTTAACCTGGCTATGATAAATTAAAACGAAATCAATATAATTATAGTATCATGCAAATCAAAGCAATTTACAGAAAATTGTTGCAATTCTGCCTCATCCTCCAATAAATGGGTTTGTTAGTTTTTTTTTGTGAAAGAACAAATCAATTGCAATTTCTCAGTGAGTGATGACTACAAAGCGACTTACTAATATAGGATTTTCATGAAACAGCATCAATGAATGTATTTTTTCAAAGTGAGTCATAATGATCATTATAATTTATTGCTCTACCACACACTATGAATCAACCAAGCCTGGGTATGAATCAACCAAGCCTGGGTATGAATCAACCAAGCCTCAGGTATGAATCAACCAATCAAGAAATACACACTCGAGAACATTTTCAACTTATCATATTACAGAGTGAACAATAACACCACTTCAAAAACTCATTAATAATTCATGAGGAAACCACAAAGAGAAATCATAAGCGTGGTGTGTCTTTATATGTGATAAAACACGCTTGTATTTTCTCAGCTAATACAAAGTTATTTTGGAAAATTATTTCGCCAATGCCGTGATCTAACTGAGACGTTTTTGAAGCTGTTTAATAAACTTGTAGTTCGTGTTTTATCACATATAAAACACTCCGCTACGCGTCGTGTTTTATATGTGATAAAACACTCCTACTCGTTTATTAAACAGTACTTAATTCAGGAGGAAAACACAAAGAAAAATCATAAGCGTGTCGTATCTTTATATGTGATAAAAAATCATGTTAATTTACATAAAAAACATTCCACTGAAGAAGCCATAATAGGCGAAACGTTTGGAAAATATACTTTGTGTATTTTTATGTCTGAAGAAATCTTATAAGCCAAGTTCATACACTATCCAGACATGGTACCTCACACCCATTCATATATATATATATATATATATATATATATATATATATATATATATATATATATATATATATATATATATATATATATATATATATATACACTAAATGGATGATCCCCTATTTTGATAATGTCATCTGATACAGTATTTCTGATTTCTGTTAGTTGAGTAAAATTCATCAAAAGCAGGCATGTTTAGGTGCAAAATGTTGTAATCTAATTAGTAATATATCACGTTATTTAATAGCAACATGACATTTAGGTCAAAGTATGATTCTTGCCTATTAAATGATGATTAAACTTGACCAAACTCAAGCATGAGCTCCTTGGAGTGCATGTAGTGATCAGATCATAGAACAGATATTTAAAATAATTGAGTACTGTAAAGAATCAGACCATACAAAAGATTATATAATCAGAGAGAGACTATAGTTTCTACCTAATATAGAACAAGGTGAGAAAATGTATTACGAAGCTGCCGGCTTTAAGCTACACATGCAAGTACCATGTTTCATTGCCTTATTTGTGATATCATGATATCATTGATGTACAGATCAGTAAATGTGACACAAATATTAAAGGTTCTATAAAGACTTCTTAATCACGATACTTGAAACTCAGTTGAAAGCAAAGTCTTATAAATAGTGCTTTTAATATGTATGTAATTAAACACGTACCTCGGGTTCCATTCCTTCAACAACCATATTACGTTTTCATTTCAATTCAATCAACTAGCTATTTCTGATCAGTGATGGCTTGATCTATTCTAGACGTAGCCTAGCCTGCCTGAAGTCAACTCTGGACGTACGTATTGAGTAATATCATGACCAGTGCTCTCACAATCAAATTTTCGAATTCCTTAGAAAGAGCTCGAAAATTCCTCAGATTTCCTTAAAATTCCTTAAATTGGTAAAATTACCAGAAGGCCTGGTCACACAGTTGCAAAAAGTGTTTTTTCCCTCCTTTTTTCTGTTTTTCAGTTTTTATAACCTTGTTTCTATAAGCACTAAAAATTGAAAACATTTGATTGTTAGCGTAATGCCATAAAGAAAACATTCAACATGATGTATTTTTTATCGTTGCTGCATGAAGAGCTTAAAAAATCTGTAGATTTCAGAAGAAACAGCATATACTGACATTTAACTTTTGAGAATTTTAATGAAAAGAGGGGGGTAATGGGGTATTTTCGTGCTGCGTATTGGGGTAATTTAATTATTCGTTCTTCGTTCAGTCATCTTTTTACTGAACGTTTTTCGATCCCGACATGGATGCCGTGTATCGTGCTTGCGGTGTATTCTATATCCGTTCTCCGTTTTCAGCTGTATTTAAAGACGGTTATTTTTCGTTTCTGGACAATATATTCCATTAATTTTGTTTCTGGATTTTAGCTACGTTTTGATTGGGGTCTGGGGAACGGAGGTTTCAAAGTTTATATAAATCATGAACATCGACGCAATTGTAAACAAATAGGTGAACACACCGCCTAGTACAGACTGTTTATATTCACCTTTAAGACTTCTAAGTATGATTGTTGCTTACATTTCATGTTCACTTTACATTTCAGATTCGTAATAAATTTATTTTACGTGCTTCAGGACTTCCTTCTTTTATTTTCATGCTTCAAGATCGCTGCATATTATTTTTCGTGCTTCAGGATCGGTACCCCCCCCCCCATTACCCCCCTCTGAAAAGACCAGTGGCGGACACTTTACGAAATATTGGGGGGGGGGCTCTTTTAAAATTTCAATCCCAGAAATGGCATTTGCAGCGTTCTGAGAACACATTTTGTAAAAAAACTAGGGTTTCAAAACACTGTTTTAAGTTTTGTTATAAATCACATGCCAACAGGGGCGTAGGAAGCGGGGGGGCACGGGGGGCACGTGCCCCCCAAATTTTTTTAAAGGACTAAAAGTGCCCTTTTTTGTGATAAAAAGTGCCCTTTTTGTGTTGAAAAGTGCCCTTTTTTGTGAGGAAAAGTGCCCCTTTTGTAGAAGCTAATGTCGCTGTAAATACTAAATTAAAACAATAGGTGCCGTTTTTGTGTGGAAATTTACAATTTTTTTTTAAAAATTAGATCACAAACATAAATTTCGGTATGATACGACAACATTTCCGGGAAAAATTTTTTAGGTGCCCTTTCCGATAGTAATGTGCCCCTACAAGCCGGTGCCCCCCAAACTCCAGGTGCTTCCTACGCCCCTGCATGCCAAGCCATGTACAGAAACATATACTATTATATTATGATGACAATTACGTTATATGAGTGTGATTTGTGTTATTTGGCACTGGAAAAGACAGCCATATGCACATTTATGACATAGAGAACATACGAATATATGTAATTATGTGCGTATAATGTTGCTACTTTCATATTTTAAATCTCATTTGCGTGGCGTGGTTATCCTCCGTCCAACGTTTTTAGTCCAGGATAAAATGTTTCGGAAATTCTTAAAAAAATCCTCAAAAACCTAAATTCCTTAAAAAAATCCTTAAAACTCTTCAAAATTCCTATTTTTAAGGATAATTCCTTAAAAGTGAGAGCACTGATCATGACGTCGATTTGTTCTTGTTGACACAAGTGATCAATTTTAACAAGAATCAATATCTCAACATGGAAGTGATAGAACGGAAGTAAACAATCTTTGTTTTGCTCGATCATTTACGAATATTGAACGAGTGTAAACGGGAATTTCCGAACTCGGCGTGGCAACGCGAGTACGCGACCCGCGGGATTTCGAAAATTTGTAAACAAACATGGCGGAGCGAAAAGAAAATGAATTAGCCGAAGCTGCTGCCATAAGCTGCTATCTGAGAAGGACGAGATTGTATTTAGAAATTAAAAAAGACTTACGGGTAAGCAAAGCAGTCATTGGTTAGGATTTCGAAAGTGACGATTTCAAATAACGCAGCAAATCAGGCTGCACAAAAGTCTAATATTGTTTATAAGTGGTATATTAAGGCGTTCCAGCCGGTCCTACTAAAGAATGCCCGGGAATGCCATGCTTTAGTAGGACCCTACGTTGTACTACACTAGTAAGTAGAACGCATAGATTTGTGCCAGAGATTTCGAAAATTAAAAAGCAAATATATACGGTTTCACGTCTGTTTGTGCTACCGTAGGTATAGTGGCATTGGCAATTCAATTTGCATTTCCGCACAGGGGGGTTGAGGACAATAGAGAGGTTAAGATACCCCAGTTCCGCTTTACGGGTACGGGTGATATACACATACCCATAGCCGTAAACCGGGGAACGAGTTGTAACTTAAGAAATCCAAGATATTCCGGCGTGAGCAAACTGATCAGAGAATGGTAACTTTCGCTATTGAGGTTCGCCATAGATTGTTGAAACTTTAAAGCATAAGTGCATTATTTATTTGGGTAAGATGTTGAAAATTTTTACTTGTTAAACGGCCCACAAATAGTAAACAGAAAACACCCGTATCCGTTTGTATTTTGAGTGTAGACCATGGTTTACCGTGGGGAAACGGGTAGAAATTACAGGTAAAAATGCTGACATCAGCAAAAATTGGTAAACAAAATGGCGATACTCGTACCCGTAAAACGGAACCGGGGTATCTTAACCTCTCTAATGGAAAATCCAGGGGAGGGGTGTAAAAAAGGCCTTGGAAATTCCAGGGAGAGGGGTGAAAAAGACTGCAGAAATCCAGGGAGTGGGGTTATTTGAGACCAAAATCCAGGGGATGGTCTGCGATTAAAGTTATTTTCCAGGTGTATCTGGCAATGAATTCCTAGGAAACTCCAGGGAGGGTGTATATAAACTGAATTCCAGGGGGTCACAATTTAGCTGGTAAAAAGATGTCCTCATCAACCCCCTTGTGCAGAAAATAAATGCAATTTGCCATTGTGACAATAACACCAGAACCTGCAGGTTGAGAGAGTTTCAACTTTCGAAGGCCCTGCTGGCCGGCCGTCAGGAATTTAGCGGATAAGTTAGTTTTCCTGAACTTACGAAGGCCCGGAAGATGCCTTCACTCGAAATGCCGAATTCCTCTCAATCTGCAGCTTTGAGCTTTTTACAATATTTACTGTAACACCTCTAGTATCCAATAATCAATATGTATTTAATTCACTACTAAAATTTGACATTCTGGAATGAAATGATGACACCCTTTAAGGAAGAGGAATAGAAAAACAATTGGGTTGAGACAGAGGCTCTGGTCAAATCAATTGCAAATCTCACTTCCATACTTGATTATTAGATAGTTCAAAATATAATCCTTGGATGTGATTGGGTATTGATGGCCAAGGCCATGACCAAGGATTTTAGGGTTCCCAATAGAAGCTGGCAACCGGTGATTTTCGCCATCCACAACATAATTTGCTGGTTATTTTTCTCGAAATTACAACCCAAAATATTTCCTCCTTACCACAAAATGACAAGGGAAAGTTTTCTTGGTTTTATAACATAATTTTACACAAGGAGATGCCCTCAGACATTCTTCCCCCTTAATGAGTAGTACATTCAGCACCACCTACTGTATTTTGGCACTACTTCCCCCCC